CTGAATTGCACAAAACGCATGATCGCACCGGCTAGTCTGGTGCGCGTTGCCATTTATTTTTTTTCTAATACGTAGCTGAAAGTTTTCATAAAACGTCGACGGAAAAATGGTTATTAGTAGCTCCGTTTACTGCTGGCAAGAATTAGTTGTGTGTTCACAAAAGCACTCAATGACTGTGCTAATTTTACAACAGAGTCTTATCACTGCCGAGAAGAGCTACGATTCGTTGCCGAATTTTACGGCTGCTGATGCAATGCGGCTGTTGGGAATCGGAAGGAATCAGTACATCGAGCTGATGAACCAGAATCGTTGCAATCGAAAGCTGTTTCGAAGAAGCAAAAGCCTGCGCGAATTGCTACCAGCTAAGCCGGTAGCAATTAATATCGAGCCGTGGTGGCTGATTGCACCGGGTAGCATCCTAGAAAGTGACGTAAAAGTAAATTTTTAAGCAAATTTTTGCTACTGCATAAATTTACAGTAATTACTGTAGAGGAAAGGAGGACGCTTTCCCTCTTTCATTATGCGTTTTGTGCTGTTGTAGCGTTACAAAACGCATATTATCACGGGGTTATCTATGTGTGTGTGTTTGTGTGTGTGTCCCACATTTTGTCCCGCACTTTCAACTCGGGAACCACAAAAGCTTGGAGGCTGAGATTTTGCTATAGTGTTCCCCGCCAACGGATGACGCGGCAAATTTAAATCCAGAATTCCCGTACCTGCGGGTAACACGTACGGCCCCGTGAAAGTTTTTTGCGGGTAAATTAGTATCTCAGAAACCACGGAGGCTAGGAGGCTGAAATTTTAGGGCAGTAACCCCCTGCCCACGCTCAACCTTCCCTATTCAAATTCAGCGTTCCCTCGCTGTTGAGTATTACCTGCGGCCTTGTGAGAATTTTGGATTAAACTATTAACTCGGGAATCGCGGAAAGATATTCACCGTTCAAGGTTTCGAATTCAGCTTTCATGCGCTGGTGCGTGAGATTTTTAACTATTTTCCAATGTTTGAACTATTTTTGCATAGACAAAAGTATAAAGCAGTAAAAATCAGTGGTTGAATTGCACAAAATGCATGATCGCACCGGCTAGTCTAGCGCGCGTTGCTGTTTATTTTCATTGAAACAATTATCCGTCTACTAATAAGGTGATTTTTTTGCCACGATTACCAAGACCATCCGAATAGATGATGTGAGAATCCGGTATTTGTGATGATAATGGGATACCTCGACAAACCGAGTGCAGCTGTGCCAGACTCTCCGATCTCGGCTGCTAAATACTTTTACTTTGTGTGCATTTAGAGCCTGTATCACCTCTCCTGTTTCTGTAGGATTACTCGTTTAGTTTTTGCGCACATCTCTTACTGATTCGCCATATGCACTTGTTTAATTCTTGCTAACTCAGAGGCCACGGAAGCTAGAAAGCAGAATTTTGAGGGGATGTTTCCTGACAGTTCTGGCGGCCAGCCTTAGTTTTTTTAGCTAGAAGCATTTGCCGAAAAAACCGGTGCCGGTAGCAACAAAAACTGCGGGGAACTCTGCAAAAAACGCATCTTCGCACGGGCTAAATCGGTGATTTTTGCAGTTATTGAGCAAAGACGAAAAAGATTTGTTGGACATGCTGATTGACGAAGGGGCCCAATTGGTTGGTACTCTTGACGCAAAACTAGTTCAACGGCTCTACAATCGAGGCCTGGCATACTTGGAGGTGCCGGTCAATGATGACGATTACATTTACGGTACCAAACTTGCTATTAGTTTTTCCTCACATGCATTGTCAGATGGTCGTCCAAGGCCACAAACTTATCAAAAATTACTGTCTTTGACAATTTTTCTTTACAGTTCCAACATTGGATGGTTTTGTAATGAATCGAGTGATGGGCGATTAT